CTTTTACACTTTTATCGATTTTGCTTCAATTTTACGCCTACCCCGTGGAAACTGCGTCTCTCTAACACAAAACATCCAACTTTAACCAGTTTTACAAGTGATAGAAACCTTGTTATGGAGAACATTTACTTTTCCATGCATCAGCAAAGGTCAAACGCCTCAGACTAAGAAGAATTTAAAACACATTCACCCACCACGGGAGGCAATCCTTTAGGCGATAAGGCAGGACTTTGAAACTTACCCTATTTGTCCAAGCTGCGCCTTTAAAAATTGATTTAACATTTGAAATTTACAGAAAAGTCAAGATCTGAACTAAAATATAGGATATACACGCCCCCTTGCCATGTGTGAACAGGCATCAATTAAAGCTTTATATGGGTAATTGAATTGATTCATTTCCTTGCCGACAACGCTACCGCAACCTATGCGACCAAAGGAAGACTGAATTATCCCCTTTCTAAGTAGGAACGCTATCTTTGATCATAACCTAATTTTAAAATTTTGTCAACTGGCCAGTGCATCCGATGGACCACATACAAATCATATTTTGCTTGATTTCTTCTACTGAAAGTTAAAAACAGTGAATGCAGGAGGTTTGTTAAAAATGCTCGAAATTCCTGAAGGACCAAGTAAAAAGTTCGACAGGAAGACCCGAAGTCCAGGGATTAAATCATGCTTTTATATTTATTTGGCTATGGCCTCGTTGGGCTTAATCTCATGCGCTTTAATTTCTAATCCTCATGAACCTAAGCTTAATAATCAGAATCGGTGAAAAGGTGTAAACTTGCTTTCAATGAGTTATACCTCTGATTTCAATTATTGGAATTTTGAAAATTACTTCTAAATTAGTTTTTTTACAACCGATATTTACTAGAATCCAGTTAGGTCGATATTGATTAAAGTGTAAACGATGGTTATTTATTCAATTTCCAGATAAAATGTTTTTGAAATAAGTGCAAGCATAAATGAAACACGTTAAAACCTCCACAAGTTAGGTAATGCATGAGTAATGAGCAGTTAAAGTCAAGTGTTTAGCAAAGGTGGCAGTAAGTTATCTTTAATAAACTTGACTTCAAAACTTGATCGGCGCGACCTACATAAAATGTCACAGAAAAAAAGATTCAAAGGGGATTACCCTTTTCTGATTATGGCAATATTTTGGCGTCTTAATTAAACTTAAAGAAAATTACTGCAGTACAAACCAATAACTTCAATTTGCCATATTCATACAATAGGCAAAATCTGCATCTGTCTAGTTTGAGCAATTTGATTGAAAATCAAGTACTAGTTATAAAATGAAACTTTAATTTAAAGTGGTAAGAAGCAAATTAAGTCTTTGTTGTTCACACTTCGAAAGCAAAATACAATTTCCCTCAGGCGTATTTATTAAAAATGGTGGTTAAGCACCTTCTCAATGTCTGGCTGCGCCGAAATTATGCTATTTTTAGTTGCAATTTTGAGACAGCCTCCCGAGGCTGAACATTTCATTCAGATACGCAAAAACAAGCACGGTTTTTATGCTGATTTCCGGTATTCTAAAGCATAATTTTCTATTCCTTTGAATTCTGTGGGGAAACAAGGACATTTGGTTTTAATTGCTGTGATATATCTCCATTTATTAATTACAAAGAGTTTATCGTCAACGGAATATCCATACCTTGTCGTTATGGTTAAAGAATAGATGACTTGTTCTTCGTGTCTAAGAAACTTCAGCAACAAGGAAGTCATACCCTTTGTGCACATTGTGCATCGCCTAAACTTAGCAGATTCAGAAGTGCTGGAATTTTCCACTTTTCAAGAGTGCGCTTGCTTAGTTTCATACAAACGTCTTATAAGCATTTAATGATCAATTGAGGCGAATCCACAAGCCATTAGTGTTTTTCGCGTGATTCTCGCAGTCTATTCTGGTTCAAGTATTTTACCCTAAAGACATGCATGCACGACTTGTGTCGCAAGTTCAACGAATAAATTTGAACACATAAGTCCCCCAAAAAATTCAAATAGACTCTTATATTTATCACATTAGTGATTACTTACTGTCATTCTAAAAAAAATTGTGCTTAAAAGTTAATCAGGTAAAATAGAATTCAATGTGTAAGGAAACGATTTTTGTATTAGGGAGATTGTGTAGTCAGACCTGCAATTTCTGCACACGCAAATATTTAATAAACTTTTCTTCGTTCTTCACCGCTTCATTAATTTGAGTTCTTAGTTTTAACCCTTCGAATGTGTCATTAGTATCACTTTTTGCCAACTATATGTGAGTATTTTAGCGAAAATGTCCTCTGAATCTCAAAGCCGATGCTTATATGAATATATTTCGTCATTCATTCAGGCATTTGTTGGTTTTTTTGTCTTAGAGTGTACAACGACAGTGATGTGAAAAAAGAGATGCCAAAATAACATCTAATAAGTCACATGACTATCTGAGATTCCGATTCATTTGTGATTGCTTGCCTGCTAGGTTTTAACAAAAGCACAACAATGTAGCCTTGAAAAAAAAATTAATGTTCTTTTCATAAAAACAGCTTTGAGGTTTGTTGTGAAGCAGTGCTGCTACTTTTGTTTTCCATTCTGATAATCCTACAAATTCAAGTTAAGCCTTACTTAGACGCAAATTGAGCACCATTTCGTCTATAACCAAAAGTTCAGGGTTATTTTCAACACGGACATGACAAATCTCAAATTCTAATTTTCCTACACCTCACAAAACGATGTGCAAAATTTGGGATGTAGATTGCTTAGCAGAACGCACATATCAGGACAGGCCCAAAAAGTTCGTTGTGGAAATTTGTCACTCAACATTGGCCCACTTTCTGGTCCACCTTTAAAATTGATGGTGGTGAATCAAAACCACTACTGACTCAAATCGCAGTTATTCAGCTGTACGAATGATTGCAGAGGAGCACAGACACACTACGTAGCAAAAGGCTCTTTGGTAAGCACCGCATTTTCCTCCACATGAATTGCAAATCATTCGCCTAACACCTTGGATCTGTTTTTGTGACATGCATTTAAAGCGCAAGTTTAAAAGAAGCAAATACAGGAGATTCCAAAAGGAATAGTCTGATACGACATCAGGGGAAAACAGTTGTGTTCCATCAACAGAGTCTGATCACACCAAAGTTGATGACGTCATCAATCTGGCGAAAATGCACTTGGGCTGTGCATTTTGAGCTACCACCAAGATAAACAGACGATCAATGCACAACTTCATTGTCAACAACTAACGAAATTGTGCTGTGAGAGGCTATCAGTGAAAACGTCCAGAATGGGCCATTTACAGAGGAGTAGGTAACGGGCAAAATAATGCGAGGCCTCATGCACAGCCATCAGCCATCTTAATGTTGGCTGCAAATCAAAGTGCGGCAACATTACGAATAAAATGTGACACTGATTGTCTTGGTTCAACAGTTTGTTTAGCCATTTTCCTGAAAAGGCAGGTTTTTAATCAATCAGAGTGGTAACAACTCGTGGAAAAACCATGGGTGGCTTAAAACCGTCACTGTGGTTAAAAAAAATTGTCACAGGATTATTGCGCGTTTCTAAAAATACCAACCTAAAGTAAAAAGCTTGTAAATCCATCGCCTAGACTGCCGTAATCTCTCTCGTTATTAGCTACAGGGCTTGATGGCGGTGTGCGTGAGGACGTCAGCACTGGTGCTTGCTGCGTGACGTGTTTAATCGTGTCAATCCACTGTTCACCAAACATTCACTTAATTAATCACCATTTACCTATAATAGCCTCGTTTACTGAAAGTGGGGACCTTTCCCATCATATATTTTATTACCATGACCTAAGTTTTTAATTGCATAATTTTTCACCAAAATGAGGAGAATGAATATGTCAGTTGGCCTTGCTAACTTTGGAAGCAAACTGGGTATTTTTTAAGTGTGATCTTTTTCAGACTGGCGTGGAAGCTGCAGACCTCAATTAGAGGTGACAGTCTAGGGCAAAAAACTGAAACAATCATATTGTTAGGCCCAGCCATTGACTAACCATGTAGGAGACATACTCACATTCATGTCAGGCGGTGGTCCGTAAGACATTAAAGTGAGTTATTTATCAGCATGGTAAAGATTGCTTATATTTACTTGACAAAATGAAGAGTTCCAAATCGAATATAAAACTCAGTATAAACACAGATTTTATTTTGGGACCTTAAGAGTCACTCTGTTTAAAATCGGCACCTTATGGTAGACTTCTGGACATGCATACGTTCGTGAGGTCTACTGAAGGATAATTTAAAACAACTTGGTAGATTGAATTAGAACGATCAATTTCACTGTACATGTCATTTTTTGACTTAAATTACTTAATCCTCACTACAGTCTTGAGACCGAATTCGTTGGTTTTAGCGTCAATAATACTGGTGGAATAGTGTACGTGCAACGTTTTTTTGTCAAAGATTCAGGTGGTTGACCTCGAACACTTTAAAAATTAAACCCAGGCTAGTATTTATGCAACTCTTATGCTTAGGGTGTTAGAGGACCTGAATTTTTTTCACTTTGTGCTTCAATCAGGCATCAGAAGCATAACGACAAGAAGAGATTTACTAGTTAGTAGCGCACTGAGCAGTTGCATGAATGTGTGAACCAGAGTAGCCCTGAGAAACCACGGGTTCACATTTAGGAACACCTCGTGGTGCGTATTTGTGCGCATGAGAACATGCATGTGGTGAGGAAAAATGGGTAAGATGGACGATGATGTTTGGTAAGGGATCTAAAAATATAAAGGTAAACAACAAGTTTCTTGGCTCCTAATTTTTTAACTTTAATAACTGGGGCGACTCAATTTCGTCTTTTGTGCTTCGCTCTTTCATCCGATTATTCCTTCGTGTACACTTGTCCACTTGATTTAATTTTCTTGTCCCTTAATCACGCACATAAATGTAGAAAAGCATGTTCCAAGGTTGTCAGATTCATCGTTGATGGCTTTGACTACGAACTCGGCTTTCCTTGGATCGACTGATTTCTGCTTTAATTTTAGACTCAAGTAAATGAGTTCTGATGCAAAAATCGAAACCCAACCTGAACCTCAAAATGGGGTAAGTGCTAAAATGTTTATCCTAAATGCTCTTTGTTAAATGTTATTTATTCGAGGTGAGTTTTTGATCATCAAATATTTAGACACAACTGATTCACATCACCCAAAATGTGACCGGTAGGTAATAGTGATAGTTTTAAAACTTTTTGTCAACATATCACAACATTCAAGCGCTCCGAAGAAATATTGCATGGCAAAGACATGATATGAGTACCTAACATCCGATTATAGGCCCACAGAAATAGTTCAGAGGCCTGGAACATTACAATCTATGGTCCTATCTAACATCAGCCACAACATTTGTTTTCTATACGAAACCACTTCAAACAGACAGAAGGTCTCGAGTTTCTCAAAAAACTGCAACGTTTAGTGTTTTATAGTGTTTCTGTAAGTCAACACACACGAGACCCTTTTGCTTGAGCATTCAGTAAATTCCTTAAAATCCTGTAAAATGACTGCCGCAAGTGTACGACAGTGTAAATAAAAAGTGCCCAAAGCAGTTTGCATATCGTTTACTTCGGATCTTCTTAAATAGACCAGAAAAGAATGATTTAAGGTGTTGACTTCACATATTGCCTTTACACTTGGGTTACAAGGTTGGCAAACTTCTGTTCCCGTATTCTGGTTCAAGATGACGACACAAATGTGGGATAAATATCTTTTGGTGGCCTTAAACGGTTGCATTGGATAACCCGATTGAAGTTATCCCACAGCTGTCAAAGTAACATTCCCAAATCTAAAGAATTTGGAATAAGTAGACAAAAGTCTAATTTGAATTTTTTTCGATTTTCATTCAAGCAATCGGAATGAGTTAAAAAAATTGCCTTTCGTAAGTTGCGAAATGTTCACTTTTTAATAGGAGATTGGCCTACGTCATCTTGGATTGGAGAGGCCCAAGAGGCAAAAACGACATTGTCCGAGTACCATTATAACCAATGAAGGCAAAGAACTCAACCGTGGACCTGTAACAACGGAGGATCTCTTCAGCCAGCCCAGTGATAAAAGCACACTCGAAAGTTCACCCTTGAGGTAAACATCGGCCATTTACTCACGCACCTTTTGATGAATTTAACGACTCAACTCCACCGACGGAGGAAATTTTCGTGTAACTTCATGTTCCCCTGTCTAGACTATTTACTCTTAGCTGTTTTAAATTTTTTCGTCTTGTTTACATGTTGAAATTGGGAGAACTAACGAACATGAGGACATATTTGGGCAAAAGCAAGTTCAAAATTCCGCGTTTGTTTGAATTGATGCGCACTCGAAACCAAGGGAACGACATTGTTTGCAGAATGTTCACCTCCTGAGACGATTATTGTCATCGAACCTTTGCATTTTAGGGAATCGGTCGAGGAAGAAGAAAATCCAAAACCCAACATTCCAAAGTTTCCCATGTCATTTGCTCTACCTGGATTAGCAGCGGGACAACCGGAATTACGGCCTTTGAACAAGAAGAATTCGCACGATAACTCTGGCACTGAATCAGGGAGTTAGTATTTCTGCTTAGATTTGTCAAGAGCATTCCTCTGAAGCAGGTGCAGAAAAATCGTTCACTAATTGACTAGCCCACGAAAAAAATGATAAACACATTTAGATTGGGATTGAGAGAAAAAGACAGACAGAAACAAGTTGGTTAAGTGACAAGGTCTCAAGTTCTAAAAACTTGATGCATTAATGGTTAAACATTTATGAAAGGGATCTACAAATGTATAACGGGACGCTGCAAGCAGTACTCGATGTCATTACTTCATATTTGGGCAGCTACTAAAGCATCCTGGTTAGTAAGTCCTCCTCTCTGCCGACACAGCAAAATTACAAAGAGCATTAGTCGAATTCACAGCCAATTTCTTTATTACTGACGGCAACAGTGTTGTGTACATGCCTCTGTGACCAATGCAAAACAGTAATGATAGAGAACGAAGATCTAGCTGCATAAGATTGGAACACAAATACTACTAGAGAGCATTTATCACAGCAGGTATTTGCTTTGCTGAGAAATTCAATCCCCTAAAACAACTTAATCTCTTCCAGAATTTGGTCTCTAGATGACGACCACATCTGTTCTGCTAGTATGTTTGAGGCCATGAAGATTGACTAACTTTAACAGATTTTTATGCCTTTGAAAAAAATGCGGTAAAAACCTCCTTAAATATAGCACTGAATTTCATTTGATTTCATATTGCATCGTAATCTAATAACCTGTGCGCTCCGAGAATTAAGGTTTAAAAAACATGCGGTTTCCTAAAATTGTTTTAGAAGTTGATCAAATTGTAAACTGACATCAGTGTTTGTCTAAGAACGTCAAATTAAGGATTGATGGAGCGTTTAACGCCTACTTTCAGATGGTATAAAACTACTTGCATGTATAAACTGAATTTACTTTCTATGTTCTATCCCCCTCAAGGTTCGTATTAAGTACATACAGAAATTGTGGTTAGCAGTTCTGGTTAAATGTGGTTATCCCAATCTATTGACCCGCAAGTTTGACCTGCACTTCTGCCATTCTCGGATCACACAGAAGAATACTGCAAGAATGCCTTGTAAAGCACTGGAGCATTCTTTAGATCCCTGAAACCCTTTCCGAGTGGGAATAAATTTGTTGTGGGATTTGAAGAACCTTTCATCACGTCGGAGAAACCAATTGTTGTGGGCCCCAGCACGTGGTCCTGAACCACGCCGGGGCCACTGAGTTAGATCCGGCCCGATTATGCTTCCCAACCATCTGCAGTGAAGAAAAGGGACACAGCCGCTTACTCCAGAGCTCAACCAAGTTGATGTCGTTGTGTTGTGTGCTGCATTTGCGCGTGTGTATTTATACCTCAGATGTTTGAGTCATTCATGCGCTAACATCGACACCAAGGTGTGAGGATAATCCAGGATAAATGTTCGTGCAAATGAGGGGGATTGTAGGATCCTCGCGGTTGTCGACATGCTGTGAAAGGGGGGACACAGTTTCGGAGGCTGAGGTGATCGGATTAGATAGTGTGAATCAGCGTGATTCACAACAATGACAAGTTACTAAAATGCTAATGCATTGACAATAAATCGTTTGGATATGGCGTTCGTAACTGCACAATTAAATTGTCTACAAAAGATCTGAGTGATAACTACCCTTTCTTACTAGGTGCGAATGAACCACCCAAAAGAAATCTGCGGCCATTGCCGAAAGTGGAGCCCACTGAAAAAGCAGATGATGCTTCCCAAGGGAACGAAAAACCAATTTGGTGTGTTCAAAGCATGCTCAAACCCACTGTTCCCATAAAACGTGTAGAAAAAAGGCGAGAGTCCAGTTCTTCTGAGGAAGAACATACAGGGTATGCTAACAGAGACGCATTTAACATAAAGAGTTAACTGAAGCAAAAAGATAAGTCACTGATTGATATTAGAACGCGAACTTTAACTTTCTCTCAATATTTACATTTAAATAAGAATGGTATTGCTTACAAACTAGTAGATAATTCTCAAAGGGATAGGCTTGGTTAGACGTCCTGAAGTAATAATGTCGTAGGCAGTCAACGAAGTTACATGCCAGGCTGGGCCATGGATTGATGCACGACAAATAAACTAATCATTTAATTTAAAAAAAAATCAGTTTACATTCTGCCAATTTTTTTTAAATTGAGTTTTCTAGTGATTTTCTGATTTTGAAATCAATGGCCAGTTGTGAAAATGAAAACCATTACTTGTGCTCCTGAGAGTTCTAGTAAAATTAAAACAAATGTATGAACTGGTTAGTTTGAGCAACTTATTTGGGAACATTTTGCAGACGGCAATCCTCCTCATGCTGAATGATTGGTGGCACGTGCATAAAGTAACAAATAATTTAATAGGAAACATTGTAAGCAGTTTTTCAAACTGTCGAATTCTAACAATTTGTTTTGGTTCCTAGTCTATCAGTCAGTCGTGCAAATTCAAAATCAATTTAACCCGGTCTATTCTGATTATTTGATACCGAGCATTACTGAGACTTTACAAGTCTAAATCACCGAAGCGGAATGCTTTTTAATTTTAAGCTATAAATTCATGTAAGTTAGATAAAGCTAGTGAGTTTGAGCACAATCATAGTTGGTTGAGTGAGGATCAGTAGCTAAAATAAAGCATACAAGAGGCAAACCCATGATTAACAACATTACTCACCACTTGGCTTGGACTTAAGCGCATGTTATTTGTGGCCTCCAACTGCAACATTTTTCCCATCACTGGAGACGGCTTTTCATGAAGTCCTAGACTTCGCCTTCAAATATTTTTTTTTTAATTTGCATTATACGCAACAAAAAAACATCTATAAATCTCCAGACTAAAGTTGTAGCAGGCGCTTCCTTAAATATACAGAATATTCAATTTTCTATTTACGAATTAAATAGAAGCAGCTACTTTTGTCAAACCGAATTGTAATGAGTCCTAAAAAGGTTCTAAAATCGTTACGTAATTGATATATCCAAATGCCGGTGATGCTCACCAATTTTTACTAAAACTCAGTGTTCAAACAGATAAGCGAAAGTAAACAGCACAACTCGACTTAAAAATCGCAAGTTTGGTTGAATGAAATCCGCTTTTTGGACCTGATAAAATAAACAGTTCGTTTTGAGCAGCCTTCAATTCATTAATAACATCCTTACAAACTTATTTTAACTTTAAAAGCAAACAAAACCAGGAGAGGAGTTCAGAACAGGAAGCGACCTCGGTTGGATCTGGGTTAGTGGCAAACAACCCCTTCGTGAGGACAGACAGGCAGTTTCAGAAAAAAGCTGCTGTACAAAAACCGCCACCGATATTTAGGAAGTCCGACCCAACATGTGAGGATGGTTTGATTTGTAATTCATTTGAATACTTTTATATGACCTTCTCTTATTAAATTTATCAGCATCAGACACCTGGGTAGAGCAGAATTTCAAAGTTTTCGTATCTCCTTCAACGAGATTCAAACTATCTACATTTAGCACGTAACAGTTTTTGCTTTCAGAGACATCATCGATGAAGGTGAAAATGTGTCCTAAAATAAGTGTTTTCATCTTGAAAAGCGTACTAGGCAACGTGAATTATATGTGGCGGTTTTTCAGGTTTTTTTACAGAACAGACTTTCGCTCTTTTTTTTCCAAAATGTACAAATAAGGGAGAAATAATAAAACCCATGTTAGTAACTTAATTTAAACAATTCTAGCATATTTTAGGGGTTACCCGAATAAATTCAAATCACTTATTTCAAGAATAACATCCCAAATAATTTTCAAGTAATTAGTCATCGTTTTAAAGCTGATTTACTAATTGGGGATGCTCCTCTGCGGGTTACTACTGACATTCAGAAAGGTTTCAAATTTTGTCACCTAATATTTAATGACACAGTCAGTATTACTGTTAATAAAGACGCATGAAGTTCAAATTTACATAAAATCTACTTCACAGACTATTCCACCTACCATTTTTGAGGTGGTTATTGAAAACCATAACCAGTACTTGCCAGTAAGCTCTCAGGTAAATGTAGTGATGAGTGTTTAAATCGGTCTAGCAGTAGCTTGTTTGATCCATGTCGACTCTCCAAATGATTGTTCATTACCAAGGAAACCTATTGTTTTGTAAACCTTTGTAGGTCCACCAGCCCAACCTGTTACTGCCTCATCGAGCACAAATAATAGAGACATATCTTCGTCCTTACTAACAAACCGAAGCACAAGTCTCCCAGAAAGTTGTTCGGCTCAAAGACAATTGCCGAATAAAGTGCTGTCTGACGGGAAAGTGAGTCGTCTTTCAAGCACCGAACAGGAACCGCTTTCCAGAAAAACTGCAGATTTGGGGATGGAGAAAAACCAAAATATTAACGCTGCGGATTCCACTCAAAACATGATGGTTCCCACGGAGAAACGGCAAAGCAAGATGCCAACGACGATCGATTCGTTAATTTCAAATGAAAGGTCCACTTCTGATTGTGATATTCAATCAAACTCATCAAAAGGATCAACTGCTAAGGCTGAAGATGTCACTAATGCTGTCGTAGAACAAGGCAGAAAGTGCAGCATGGATTCGGGCAGCGAAACGTCAAGTGTATCCACTAGTGAAAGCGAATCAGAGGAAGATACAGAGGAGAGTAAATCAACTTCGAAGAAAATAGAGGATGGTAAGGAGTTTCTGAGAAGTGACTCATGTCCCACTGAAAGCACAAAATCTACCCAACCATCACTTAATCTACCAGAAGAAAACACATTTACTAACACTGGGAAAACTAACAGAACCTCTAGCAGTTCAGAAAGCATGTCTGAACAGAAAACAAAAACACCGCCAGCAACCACTGACCCTTCATCTCATGAACGACGCCCAGAGGGAAGGAACTATGAACCGAGTGCAGAAACTTCCAAACCTGAAACGACTCCTGTGCCTGTTGGTGATGACAGCCAAAAGCTAGCAACTGCTTCAAGTGACAGTGACTCTGAACTGCAAATCCCATCAATTTCGGTTGAAAAACAAGAAAAAACTGAAAACCACCCTGATCAAATTGAGACACACAAGACACAACGTAAACTGCCTGAGTTGAGTTCCCGTCAGAACGCAAAATGCATTTCGATGTCTGAGTACGCAACTCCTCTTGACGAAAGCAGGTACGTTTGTTTAGCATAAACACTTGTTTAATGTAGGCTTATGAACACCCACATTTGGCAAAGAGTGGTCTGCATTCAGGTCTTGCCGTATTTGCCATTCAAATCCTAGTATGGGCAGCCAGTAGACCGAATTCATAAGTATGCTTGCAAGTGTTATGTACAACGAGTAGCCAACCGTTTCAGGCCGATGTAGTAAAGGAGGGATAATGAACACGAATGAGCTACGGTGTCATCAACAAGTAATTAAGGTGGCCAACATCACACGTGACAAAAGAACAGGCTTAAGCATTACTTTATGGAGTGACGAATTTCCTATCGTTGGGTAAAGCAGCGTCGTAATTCGAGACAGGGACACTTTCCCGAATGCTTTCACTGTGGTAGCCACTTGCTGGGATTAAGACAGCTTTTCGAACACGTGCCAAAATATTTGTAGTTTGTTAATCCACCTTGATCTTATGTTCTCTGTTGATCACTTGTCCATAAAACACAAGTTTGTCAAAAATAATTCTATTCATTACTAAGAAATAGGTTCATTAATTTGCAGGCATAAAGAAAAGCCCTGAAAAGGTTTTTCTTTTGATAACGTTGACTTGTCTTGCGCGTAACTTGAATGTATTGCATTTGCAATACACGGTCTAGTAAGAAATACGACGCTCAGCAAATTAGAATCCAGTGATATCTGACCTGTACTTTGTGAATAGATGTTCTTTGTGTATTGGCTGGTTTTCCAATTTATTAGCCACTATTTTGCACATCAGACTGTTCAATAAGGCTTACATTTAAACCTTCTCTAATTTTTTCCTGAAAATGTGTCGTGTTTTGCATTCTATACAACTCTAAGTGATTATGTAGAAATGACGGAGAACCGCGAGGAAATAAAAGTGAAATTTTATCAGTTCTAATTGCCTCCGTTTTGTAGATATTACATATATCATTTAATAAGGCACTTGCTTTACTTTTTTCTGAATCAGTATACAAAAAAACTAATCGACATGTGATTAAGACCATTTACAAAAATTCAGCGGAAGTGGTACTTTGCTACATTTCGAACAACTTTCAAGACCGATCTTGCCCATCATGACATAGATTTTACAAATGCATTTTTAAGCATTACACTTGAAATACTAGAATTCGATCTAGAGCAATTGCCGAATTATAGCATTGGAGAACGTTAAGCCTTTCAAAGGGGGATTATTGTATGAAATGCCGGGTAGCGCCACTAAGTCCTACTACGTTTACGCTTGATTGATATAAATAGATTACTTCTCCTCCCACATCCTAAATTAGGCATAATAAAGGCGTTTCGCACATGTGTACATACCTGAAAATTTGAATTTTGAAAATGCTGGATCAGGAGAACAGGAAATAGTCGAAGTTTTGGGTGTAGGAGCATTGCAATGACATGCCTATTGAAAATTGGTGAAGCCCACCATCAGAAAAGAAAGTGTCCAAGAATATTTTCCAGACTTTAAATTATCAAATGACGATAAATTTGCAGTTAGTATGTTGGATTTATACTTGAAGCATTTTACATGGAACCAGATCTAGTTTTACATTTTAAACGATATGAGATTGGAAATCAGGATGTGAAATATTTGAAGAATACGTGTTAATACTATAATCAGGCGCAACTATTAGAAATTTTATTAAGTTGGTTTGTGAACTTCATTTCTAAATTAAAAATGTCCTAAGTAAGTCGGGAAAAAGAATTAAAGACAGCTGTCCTTCGAAAAAAACGTGGAAACAAATAATAAATCTGGATTTCTGGCTTGAATTTTATTTAAGGAGTCGATTTTTTTCACCACAGACAGACATTTGAATGCATTCCATTTGGACGACGCAATTGCAATCACAAAAAAAACTTCAAAATTTTTTTATTCCGACTTTTAGAGACAGTGAGCAGTCAGATGAAACTGAAAGTAAGTCTCATCCTGTGCAGTATCTAATTCACTTTTCCAAATTGAAAGAAGTCTTTGAGGCAGATGGAGGCTGTGATTCTACAGAAAAAACAGTGGGTTGTCAAATTTAAATAATGACTGTGCAAAATTGGGCGACAAAAATATTGGGGTAGTATTCTACCGATGCAGAGGCTTAATTTTCAGTAGGGAAGGTGGGTGATTGCTCCAAACCAGAGTTGCCTTTAGAGTTAAACTCCACATTCAGCATTCTACTTCTCCGTTCCTTCTCCTTTTTCATTAAGAGCCCCTTCAATGTCAAAAGTGCACGTTAAAGGCTTCTTAGTTCGTGAATTAAAAATTTCACCCATATTGTTTTTAAAGGTTCTGATTCAGAAGAAAGTGCCAAGAATGTAGCTGAACAAAGGTAAGTCCTAGACTTACACTTCTAAGTTTTCAAGTTGCCAATTTAATTACCATTCGTTCTTTCTCAAAATTCTCGAACATGCTTAAATAAGGTTTTCTTCTGGAAAAGAGGGTGAGAATGAGTAGGAGGTGTATTCGCCAAAACTGTCTTATACAACCTCAGCATGAGCAATGAGTAGACACAGCATCAGTACTAAGAAGTGTTGTCCAACCACGTGTTAAATGGGAAAATTGCCATAAGTTCATTAGACTTTGACAAGTCCCTGCTCTCAGTTAAATCACCTCAATTTTGGACTTATCTTCAATGTCTCATAATGCTCTCACAACACAACCATTCAATTACTTAACGACTATCATGATAATTCTTTTGTGTGGTTTTCGCCAATTAGTTGCCCTCAGGTACAAGGAGATCAGCCAATATCAGATTACATCAAACAACCGAGAGAAACGCGAAAACATTCAGTTCGCAAAATCCGAAACATGTTCAAAAAGAAACAATCGGGTTCACTGGACGTTCTTGATGAGTCAGCAGGTAAGCAGCTTTAGGGGTCACGTTATCTGCTGACACTGTTTGCAATGTTCATCGTTCCTTTCTGTTCTAATGAAGCCTCATACAGGCGATCATATAGTCCTGAATGTCACCAACATATGATTTTAATGAGTCGGCGTGAAGCGGGTTCGTTCAACAGTCCCGTTATTCAACCATGGAGCCAGAAGTTGATTCCAGAAATTCACGTCGATGAAGTGTGTGCGTGGGGGTTGGCAGAACTCCTTTACTTGCTACACCAGAGATATGCTGAACGGAAGAGCAGCTGCTAAAGTTTAATTACAATTTAGCTTTATTGTATTTTTGCATTTGTCAACTAACTACAGATATAAACTCCACTCTTTTCCACAGGTTCCAAAAATGAACAAAGTACCGGCGACATGGCCCGGCCCAGGTGGGTTGGGGACCTCTTCTTTGTAAACAATAATTTACTAGCCGCGCGTTGTCAAAGTCTTTTAAATTATTAAGTAATATAGTAGACTCTGCGAAAATGTGGCAGATTACCTTAACCATTACCGTAGTCAATGCAGACGCGTTAGTTCATATTTTTGATAGATTCCGACGCCAGCAAACCTAAGACCGTACTTTCTATGATGAACAATGCTAATTTGTGTTGCTATGGAATTTTGTTTAGTAGCTGTGGCTTACCGCCTGATACCCTTTTTCCCCTACTACATGTCTTTACTTTGTTCTCGGGTTCCTACAATCGTTAACTAGTGGGGTTGTAAGTTAGCTAAGGCTGCCACTACTTTAGCTGATGCTTAGGCAATGTTTAGTGACTGCTTATAATACCCACAGTCCTTAGGGATCTGACAGAAGTATCTGATAAGTTTTACAAATGTCTTCCGGGGACAAAAAATACACTAGCGCTGCTTCCGACGAGTCGGCGAAAACGACCTACTCAAGTGCAAACTAATAGAAGTGGTTGATTATGTGTCTCTCATTAGTAGTAGTTTGGTGTTTTTGTGAACCGCCACACCGACAATGACGCGCATACCGTTTTCGCCAATGCAGTTGACTCAAAAACTAACCTGGCCGATGTCGGTAACATTATAGTTATGACTCCAGGGTACGCCCATGCAGCCAAGCCCAAGCCTTCAAACAATCCAAACCCATATTTAAGAAAAGTGACAGGCCTCCTGTAACGGTGGCGACGGGATTTGGCTTAGGCACTCACAATTTTTACGCCATTGATATCGTTAGCGGTTCAAAATTTTTGATTGAAACCAGTGCCGAGGTTAGTGTAATTCCCGTAGGATTCAATTGACGCCACGTCGAAGCTCTAGGTCTACAACATCAAGTCCCAAATGACCCACTCCTTGAGGCAAACAACAAGTAACACCTTAAATTTGGGTCTCAGACAACAGATTTCCTTGATTATTAACGTCGTTGGCATTTAGCAACTAATAACTGGTGTTGATTTCCTTTATCAGTTTGGTATTCTAGTCTATGTTGCATGGCGGAAGCTTTTTAATACAAATTTTATTCATTTGTAAAACGAGTTACTGTTTCAATAAATAAGATAGGACCCTGTTTGGCGTTACCCGTTTCTAGCAGGAAAAAACAACTGTTGAAAGAGTGCACTGGAATCCTCAAGACGAAGTAGATATCCAGCAGACACACCCATGTAGTCATGCTTCATACCGCTACAAAAGGTACACCAGAATTGCTGGGGCCAGATTTGCACATAATAAACTCAGACAGCCTAGGCAGAATTTGAGCATGTGCGCCGCCCTGGAATACTTTGCTCTTCTTGACTCATTTGATATAGTACCTAGGAGGTCCGGAGACCCTGCAGGAATTTCAGAATAAAATACTACTGCTGTTTTTTTGACAATCCGCGATGCTGTGAAAGAAAACTTAAAGTCCACTTAAGCAGGACTACTTTTTAGAGCCATTATGCGTCAGCCAACTTAGATGAATTCTAATTCTGGCTACAAAATCGAAATCCATTCTCTACCCTAAATCGATCAATTGAGTCTCCTCACGGCAGCCACCAAATCGGCCGTAATCATGCAAATCTGTAGTGGGGATTGAACTACTCTATACCTCTGCGCGCAATAACCCGAGAGCAAAGGAAAGGACAGGCGACAACACTTACCGCACACATTTAGCGTTTCAGTTAGATGACAAGAATTTTGACCTTAGCTTTTAAATCGCATAACGATCTCGCAAAAGAACCCCTCTATTGATTAATAACTATCATGATAATTCTCTTGTGTTGTGTTTGCCCATTAGTCG